GTATTGAATTTTATCAAGGAGGGCAGGGTTGACCTGCTTTTGAAGAATAGTATGATGAAAAAAAATGCATTTGTTTAGCTACTAAAGTTCGATATTTGATAGAGGACGCATTTTATCTAAAGAGGAGTTCCAGTAAGATAATTGTTGCATAAAGACCGGCATCTGATTTTTTCTAAAATCCACTAACGCTATCATTTAATTGCATATATAATGGCGAGTATTCATCCCTAATGTTTTACAATTCAGGCCTTAATCATAGTCACGTTGGAACACAGACTGTCGGATTTGCCTATGAATTAATTAGGGCTCGAGATAGCCAAAGATTTAAGCGATGAAATATTAGCATTTACGTACATATTTTAGAGTAAACTTACCCAAACAATAACTTAAAGCTGATATTGATAGGCTTGCCTCCCAAGATTGTTGACAAAGCCTCTTGCACAGTACTAAACTAAACCGTAGTATCTGACTATATATCATTTCGAACAGACAAATGATTCCACTTGAGATGAAAAGGAGCCCAAAGTGAGAGGAGGTTCCAAGGAAATCTATACTTGCTTCCATTTAGAGCTTTGTGCATTGCAAGAACGGGCTGGGCTGAAGGGAAAACAATGCGGTTCAGGGACTTTGAGGACAGACTAGCATGGTTCGTGACTTGACCCTAGTTTCATCAACTGCTTACCATATACTGTACTTGTTAATTAAACACTCAAAGATATTAGTCCAGAGCACACGTTTGTGATAGTGTGTTTCCCAGCCTATGTGGATTTGCATTACTCTTATGCAATGACACTCGCATTAATTTCAATATGCATTTTATACCAGGGTTCCGATGCATTAAAATTCGTGACATTCATGTAATGACTTACGATATCAATATACATTGCGGTCATTATTATTCCAAGATGATTTAACTATCCTCTAGCTTTTTGTAATATTACTTTCTTCTATAGATTTGAACGAGCGAGAAATAGCAGTGAAAGTGAATGTGGACGACCTATGCAGACTAGCAGGCCTTGCAGGGCAGAGGAGAGGAAGGTTCCACCGTCCAGTAAAGGTAATGTCGTTATTTTGCTTTTTGTTACGTTGCATTTTGGTAGTGTTTTAAAGATTTGTCACAATATCCACAATGTTGATATCCAAGATTGCTATAATTCAGAGAGAGAGAGAGAGAGAGAGAGATACTTGTTTTAAAATGCTTGTTTTTAAAACAAATCCCAAATTATTCTTTAGGCATCCGTCCGTTATGCTGTAAGGGAACTTGCTGAATCTGATGAACCAACGAAATGGGATTTTACGCTGAGGGTAAAATTGTATACTTCAGTCTGTACACTTGCTTTAGAATATGTTTAAAAATGTCGTATACAGTTATAATTAGAAAACTATAAACCTAGACCACAAGAAAATCATCATTTTCTTTTCAGATTTGATCATCCTATTAACCGAGAGGTAACAAAAAAGCGAAACAACTCATCAACAGCCGGGAGGAGCAGCAAGTCAACGACAAATATTTTAAACGTGCGTTTACGACCTGACAAGAAATAAGCATTGATAATAGTATTGCTGTAAAACACAACTGATGTAAAACAATGAACATGTACTTTCCATAACTGACTCATTGATGAAACATCTGTAAATTATCTATAACCATGTTTATTCACCACTATTCACTCACTCCACTCACCTACTCAGTTCACTCCACCCGTGAAGGTCCGGGTTAGAATGAACCTTCAGTAACCCATGCTTGTCGTAAGAGGCGATTAACGGTATCGGGTTGGTCAAGATCGCTGGCTTGGTTGACACATGTCATCGGTTCCCAATTGCGCAGATCGATGCCCATGCTGTTGATCACTGTATCAACTTACAGACCGCTGCCATATAGCTGGAATATTGCTGAATGCGGCGTAAAACTAAACTCACTCACTTCCTTAAATAAGCAATGAATACAATTGAAATACAAAAAACATATTTGCAGAGGCAGCCGTGACCTACTTTCATTGCTTAAAGTCGACTTTTAAGAAGAAGGAGAAGGGGGTGTTGCAGGACTGCAGGAAAAAGCTAAAAAGACAGCAGAGGAAAGCAAACGTAAGTTGCAATATATACAAACAGAACAATGATTTGTGTTGACTGCATTTGCATTTTAGTATACTAGAATGCAGTTTTTGTGTTTGTTTGAATCCATTTAATAAAACTTCGACAAATTACACGAGAAGCTTTTTAATTGAACTACTGATTCTGATAGTACTTCCATAAAGACACAACATCGTTAAAACTTAAGACAAATTAGATCAATATTAATGAAACCAGTGGTTATTTAAAACAGACACGGAACTATTGTCGATTAAGTTTTGCACAGTTGCGTCGTGTCGTTTGTTACGTCCCATAACAGTTGCAAATCTTGGGATCATGTTTTTGTGCCTCCACGTTATTTTCTTATTTCATACCCAAGTTTGGCTACCTTTACCGCCAACACTTTCAGCAAATTAGTATAAGATAGATGTAGTGAAGTTTATTTGTCGGTAGTGGTTAATCTGAAATGACAAATAGGGATATTACAGATTTTTGGTCACGCATAAAAATGGTAACCTCTTGAAGCTGTATTATTATAATATCATGGTTTCCTTGCAGAAACGCAACCGCAGGCGAACGGCTCTCCGTGTGTTAGAAGGAAAAATGCCAACGGACGAGGTGTCCAAATTACAGAGACTGCTGCAATCAAATGAGTATATCTCGAGTGAGGAGGACTTCTCCGAAGAAGGAGAAGATGAAAACGAGGCAGCCAAACATTTCCTTTTAAGACCGTTGCCTTGGGGATCAGAGTTTGTGGATCGGCACTTCAAACGCCTAGATGGACACTCAAGGCGGATGTCCAAAAGGCATGGCGGGCCTGCATTCCTTGTCCGAACATATGGCCTGCCCAGTGAACGGATGCCACCATCAGATGCCCCAGACTATGCCTTACGGGCATAAAACACCGCATACAAGGACTCATAAGTACCACAATAAATCATTTGATATGACATTGTTTGTTATCGTCTATATTTGCGTTATTGAAACAGCTGTGGCCAAGCTCAGTGTTATTGCATGAAGTGTAGATCAAGCCTGTATGTCAAGACTAACGCTATAGGTAGTCTTTGAAAGTATATCACTTGAATATAGAGCTACTTGGAAAAGAGAATCAGTGAGATGGGAGATACAGTGGAAAAGTTAGTCTTGCTTATTCATGGTTGTTATATTTACAGTAAAGGCTGAGCGGAATGGGTAATAACATGGTTAAACCACTATGAGGCTATTAAAAAGGGCCACGTGTTGTGCAATGATATTTCAATTATGTAACTCCCAGAATTACAGTTTACACATCAGTTCGAGCTGCATAAACATTGAAATTAAGAGTCGGATAGTTGGGGGTATTTGCCTGTGCTCTAACAGAAATATAGGACTATTCTGTCGGGATATATCTAGGGACACCTGTGAGGACAAAGGGGATCTCATTTTGTTCATCGCTGTGCTTTTTGATCCCTCGATACAGGCAGCGCACACAAGACGTAACTGATACTGGTAGGAAGCGCGAATGCAACATGAGAAGGCGTGTTAGCTTGCATAATACTGCTTTCTTGGCTACACCAGTTAATTGATAAGATTAATGAGGTCACATGAACGATAATTTCAAACGTATCAAAATATGTGAAAATGAAGTAACATGAAACAAGTATTTCAAAACATGGAAACATATGACCATCTTGCCTGAGCACAGGTCACATGAACATGTATGAACCGTTCATATACGTACCCCTGAAATCCGGTATGATGCATAAATATCTAAGGCATGTAAACATTTGCAAATTTGAAAATTTACATGTGTTTCCCCACCTAAGGAAATACCCATATTTTCAACCATAGTAAACTTAGAACGGAATCGGACATTTCCACACCCACTGAAATTCACAGGAATGCATTGGAAATACTGTATGATCATGTATTTACCGGGGTATCTGTTTTACAATTCATGTTTGGAAATCCTGACAATCCGGTCATGGCATACATGAACGAGGTGCTTGTGCATACGAAAATGTGTGATGAGCATATGTTTCAAAGGTATAGATTCATATGAAATATACGCTCGAAGTTCGGAAATATCTGAAAACATACGTAAATCCGGTCATGGCATGTATTTCCTACTGTATTTACGAATATTTTCAATGGTTTACTATCCGGTTTTGGTGCTGTACGGTGTGTTGACTTGAGACTTGTTTTGATAAGAAATGATTGAAGCCAGTAGACAAAGGGTGGATTAGGCTTGATTAGTTGATCGTAAGCCGTGGGGGTGTAATAACCTTGATCTGTGTTGATTGCCGGGTTCAGTCGTTTGATGTTGATTGCCTCTAAGAGTTTTCTTATCTTGTAATCTGACCTGCTGTCTTCAAGGATGTTGATGTTGTTCCAAAGTATGGTATGGTTCGGGTTGGCTTGGGTGTGGTCGGAAATGGCTGTTGTGTATCATTTGCTTGATAACGGTGTCAGGATCTACACCAAAACGTCGCAACTACTACTGCAACAAAGAAGTTGTCTATCCATAAAAGTGCTCCACTTTATTGTTGTGTATATTGCTTTTATAACATTACTCTCGATGAGATGGACGTTGTGACCTAGCGACGGCGAATGTCTGAGGTGGATTCTGAATATCTAAGTCAGTGGGTCACCCGAAGATCCAAGACACTGCCACAACCCAGATCATACAGATATATTTGTCCGCAGAGATATAGGTTGCGACCTATTATTTGGCCCCTTCGATGGCTGTTCGACCCAACCACAGTATAATAACACGTGTACTGATTTGTGAGTCACGAAATGTGTTCATAGACTGTTAACGTGATGCGCCAGCAAGTCAAGATATGGGACGTCAGACTGCCTTCAACTCCATTGTCGACTTCATGGCAACGAAACGATGTAAACAACACTCGTGCCTGGTGAACACAGGCCTTCTCTACAAGGGTATTTTTATCAGCGTTATATATATGCTTGTTTTGGTGCTGAAGTTCAAGTAGTAAATTCTCGATAAATGCTTTGGACTTCGTTCACGAGGTAATAATTACATTTTTATTGTGTTCATTAAAATTCTGGCAATCTGATTGGTTAACTGGGAACATTTCTTTTGATTTCATTTCCCAATGAATCTAAAAAAATAAGCCACGCCCACCGAACCGGACTACTTTCGGACCTGAGGAATGTCGGGGAATACCTTTACACAGCGAGGGAATTCCCTTGCACTCGGGTACCTTAATGAACTTTGGGTAAACATTGAAGTGATACATTGTGGTTAACATAAACAAACAACTCAAAATCATCCGTGAACGTTAATAGAGTGTTTATTTAATAAAAAAGTGTTTGTCATAATACATTATTTGACTGGTTACTGTGGTTACCACGTGCAGTCAGCGAACAGTCGTCTGCAACTTGTCTTGTTTACATTCCAACAAGATGGCCGATTCCAAGTACGGAAGTTTTGATCTGGTGAATTTTGAGTCGATTTTCGAAGATCAATCTACCGGAAACGTTGCAACTCTTAGCACGGATAACATTGATTTTCCGGATGATTTAGACCTGGAAGAAATTGAAAGTTTGTTAGAGATAACAGCATCAACCAGATCTACAAAAACATCGGCAAATCACGAGATGACGTGTGCAATGCAAGTCGATGATAAGCCATCCCAAACACATCGTTTCAAACGTTTATCAAATAATGATTTACTTCGAATGGACGACTACGGACAATCAACATCCACAAAAAAACACAAAATGGGGTGTTAAACTATTCCAAGGTAGATATACACAATTCATATAAATATTATTTTCAAATTCCATCCTACGTATATTTTCTCAAAACGAAACACAGTTCATCAGCACAAAGTTGTATTTTTTAAAATGGAACAATTATCAGAATGAGATTATATTATGTAGATTTAACCGAGAAAAATGATTTGCTATAAAGTTACCTAGTTCAAAGTTTACATAGTTGGGTCTGTCATAGTCAGGTTTCTAGATATTGTTTTCGTTTTGTTTATTTAGATTGGTCGTTCGAGAGCGAGGGGGAGGACTGGATTTTTCAACAATTACACCAGAGGAACTTAACACAATGTTGAGATTTGTCTACGCTGAGGCACAGCCTAAAAACCAGGAAGCAAGATATGAAAATATGCCGGCTGCACATGCTGCCGAGTATCACAAGAACACTTTGAAAAATGTTCGTTCTGCCCTGAAAAGACACTTAAATGATATCGGGAGAGATATTGACATTGTAAGAGATAAGCAGTTTAAGTCTGCACATGATATGCTTGATGCTAAATTAAACTACAATGTACAACATGGCTTGTCGCGTCCCACACAACATAAATCAATCATTGAAACAAGTGATCTGATGAAAATTAGCACTTATCTGCATTCGGCATCCAATCCTGTTATCCTCCGGTACAAAGTATGGTACGACTTGGCCATCCATTTTGTAAGTCGTGGTCTTGAATTTCACCAGCAGCTTACGCCCACATCCTTTGAATTTGCGGTAGATGATAGCAATGTTGAATATGTCACACTGTCCCACGAAACGAAACCAAAAAAACATCCAGGGTGGTCTCAGCAGCGATGAAGCGCAAAGCCGAAAACGAATACATGTATACGCGACGAATGATATAACCCAATGTTCCGTCAATGCACTTCGCCAGCTCCTTGACAAAAGTGACCCAAATGCCGGATCACTTTTTTCGCACTGTAATAAAGATGCACTTAATTCTCCAGACGCACACAACATTTGGTATACAGCAACCCCAGTCAAAAAATACCAGTTCACTCGTTTCATTTCTGACATATGTCGCAATGCCCAATGTAGTCAGTCATACACTGCTCATTGCCTTCGCGCCACAGCAATCCAAGCCATGAGTGACGCTGGCTTTGAACTTTGTCACATAATGTTTATGAGTGGCCATAGGAATGAAAGTTCCGTGCGTAGTTATAGTCGCCACACAACGACTACTCAAAAAACTAACAATTAGCGAGACGCTTTCCGCCATTGTAACGCCTCGACAAGAGCATGCGCATGTTGGAACATCAGTTCATGGCATCGCAATCCCAGTCACATCACAGCCCCTTTCCACTTGCGCAAAAACTGCTGCCACTAACAATCTCAGTTCCACTAACTTCATGTCATCGGGCTTCATTTCCAATTCTCACTTTTCAAACTGTGTCTTTCAGTTCGCTGGTAATAATTCAAATGTTTGAACTTGAAACTTTGCCGTTACCGGAACGCGTCACGTTGTGTTGTTCCGCTCTGATTCGCTACCCCGATGTTAGCTTGGTTGATTGACAGCTGTTTGGGGGTGCTCTATGCTGATTGGCTAATGGTTGGTAGGCGTGTCATTTTATGTAAATGAGTCACCTGAGTCATGTCACGCCATTACCGAATTCTTACACCGAAAATGTTAATCGGTGGTAACAAATATATCTGTTTCGATGAATTTGATTGTGTTAAAATAAAATATTGTTGAAAGCCTATAGTATTTGTTGTTGAATTTAATTATAAGGATTGACTGTGTATTTCTTTCGTTGCATTGAGGTATGAAACTAAAAACCAATGTGCAAACTTTTGTAAGAATCCGCTACGCGGATTCATACAGTTTGCACATTGGTTTTTAGTTTCATACCTCAATGCAACGAAAGAAATACACAGTCAATCCTTAAATGTTTAGTGGCCCCAACATAGAAATGAAATAAAGTTTAAAGCTAGTAACTTAACAATCAAGTCCAAATAGAAGTAGTTTTTACAACGTGCCAATATACGCATACTCCGATAGCATGTAAAAAATACAATAGTCAAAGAATTACTTTCAGAACAACGTAACTCATTTTTGATTGGTATTTTGGTATGCCCAAAGAAATTGTTTTTTGAAGTTAGCACATAAATAGATATTAGGACCTGTAAGGTGTACATTTGTTTTGAATCCATTCTTCATTATGTTTTATAGTTTGCTTTTTAACGCTGCAATCAGTAATTTTCCAGCTATTTCACGGCCGGTCTCTAAATAATTCTGGACCAGAATATCCAGTGATTGACAAAGTGAGCGTCGATTTTAGCAATTGAGATATAAGATCATATGTGTCAGCGTGCCTGACGACCCGATCCAAAAGTCTCTTGTGACAAACACGGGTTGTTGAAGATAAATTCGTACATGTGTCTTCGCGGGCAATTACGCTTGTATGAGGTATCTGTTCATGGAACAGAAACCATCCGAAAGCGAGGGATTGACCCATGTGACCCATATATCCTTTATCTGTCGTATCAGGAGCCTGTATTTATCCCGTCAGTTGGAGTACGTTCACATAGGCCGGACAGAATAACTTGCTAGATATCATATTATATACTGTTAAGTGTAAGTTGCTTTAACCAGTGAATGGGTTTGATGGTCTGAAGTTCTAAGGTATTTCTTTCTCCACCCATTCAGTTGAAGTGAGGATTGAATCAGGAACATTACTAGTATCTGTTAACGTGATCTCTTCCATCTGATGTCATTGTATAGAATACGAGGGCTGTCCCAGAAGCTTCCCAGACACAGCAAAACTGCTAGTGTATATAGAACAGTACTAAAGCATGAATTGCACAAACTGGAACTGCCTATATATTCCTGTCAAGCTTCACTACCCTCCCATTTGCTCTAAAACGCTGCTCAAAATGGACAAAACAGAATGTAGAGCTGTGATTTAATATCTTTATTTAAAAAGATTTACTCCCAAGCAAATTCCCGAAGACATGACACAAACATTGGGAGATACTTCACCTTCATTCAGTACAGTAAAACAGTGGCGTGCTGATTTCACAAGGGGTAGGCAAAGCGCTGAAGACGAACCACGTTCTGGTCGCCCCTGTGAAGTCACCACCAAAGATAAAGTCAATTCTGTTCTTGACACAATAATGCAGGATCGGCGTATGCCTATAAGCCAATTAGCTACTGCACATGGCATTAGTAAAACGTCAATAGAGCGAATTATTCATCAACATTTGCACATGAGTAAGGTGTTAGCTCGTTGGGTACCCGGAATGCTATAAGAGGAACATAAACGGAAAAGAGTCATGGTTAGTATACTTTCTGATAACTATCGGGCAGATCTATTAACACAATATGAAACCTGGGTTCATCATTTTGATCCTTAGACAAAAAGTCAAAGTATGCTGTGGTTGTATTCTTCGTCATTCACAACCTGTTTCGCCAATTTCATTTTAGCGTTTTTCGTGTGCACGTGAACATGGTCAGGGTAAAACTCGAAATTTACTGTGAAGCGTGTCAGTGTGTTGCTGTACATTTCAGTGATAAACAAACAGGCTGAAAGTTGTTCTGATATTATTCTGTTCCCAAATTCTAAAATGTCACTCACAGAAGTGATATTAAATTCAAGTTAACGTTTTAAGGAAAAGTGCAGTTTCTTGGGTATAATACAGCCAGGATCAGTTAAGCTGGTGATGTTATGAGCAAATATCAGGGTTCGTGGTGAATATGGCCGTGTTTATGACAATCTGCATAAGCAGATCCAGAGGAGGGTGCAGGGGTGCGCAAACCCCAACCCCCACGCCCCTTTTGTCTTGAAAGTTTATTGAATATTTATTAATAGTCCATTAAAACTCTCATGAAAACGGGTGAAAAGGAGTGTGCAAACCCCCACACCCCACCCCCCATCACGAGGCCATCCCACCACCAGACGTTCTGACATGGACTTCTGCAGTGTACATTCCATTTACAACAATGCTCTGGGACTTCGAAACGTAACGACAGGCGAATGGATATCTAAAGCAGTAGGTCACGAAAGACCCACGTCATTGTCACAACCCGGGTCAAATACATGTCCACCTCCCCAGAGATGAAGGTCGGTTGTTGGACAACTACTCTGTGAAATAACGTGTACTCCTTGTCGCCATACTGTCTCTGGGCGGGTTAGTAATTATTCGCAGTGTGTGCATATAAATACATGTATTAGATTATGAAACTTGTATCATCATCAACCCATTCAATTTCAGCGGGGAAACATCCCTTACGTATATTGATATCTAGAAAAACAGATAACAATTCGAACGCCAGGGACTGACGTACCTAAGGAGTTATTATATGTAATACCAGGAGCCAATCATTTCTTTCTGTCACGTTTACAAAAAAAGGACTTGATAGGTATCACCGTTTATCTTTTGCTGCACTCGTGGTAAGTATATGTTGTCTTAGCCAGTGATTGTGTGTCTGAGAGTCAACGTATCTCCTTCTCCACCCAATCAGTTGTCGTATGGATGCAAAGAGGTAAGTTATCTGTGTTAAATGGATCTTTTCCAGCAAATTGTCTAGAATAACTAACAAATAACGGACGCAAGTCCAGTCGGAAAAATAGTCTTGTGTAGGTTCCTTTTGTGTGTATTGGACAAAGAAAAGCTAGGCGTGCGGGATGTGTGCTGTGTGTGTGTGTGTGTGTGTGTGTGTGGGTGTTTGGTTTTTTTTTGCAAGATAAAGCACATCACACAAGAGAGGTATTTCTTACTCCTGCAAACTCTGAGCAAAGTTTATGGACCATTCACGCCATCTGAATCATCCAGTGGTCGACGATAGGGTTTTGTCTTAGTGGATGAAGTTGGTTGTCACATTGGAGGTTTCAGGTGAAGTGTTATTGGATTTTACGTCGTGCTTGAGAATATTTCGCTCATATGACGACGTGCATGCGCGTGTGTATGTGCGGCTGCTTGTACTAGCCCAGACTTAAGCTGGTTTTATAGTGCTAGCCCACCGAGATACCATGCCGCAGTGAAGCATGGATACCCCACTCATACACATTATACTGACTCTTAGCCGACCAGTCCTTGTTGTACCCATTAATGCCGAGCGCCAGGCAGGGACCAACAAGTACCATATTTTAACGTCTTTTGGTATGACGCGGTCGGGGATCGAACCCGCGACCTTCCGCACTCCGGGCGGACGCTCTAACCACTACACCACGGAGGCGGCCTTGGAGGTTTCAGAGCTTTGGTGACAGCATTAGTGTTATTGCGTCTGTGAGTGTGCATCTTTAAAGGAGAAGGTGTGTTGGCGTAGACGATTACTCGTTACTTAACATGTCAACTAAACTATCCGTTGTTACCATCTTAGCCACCATGCAGACATCTATGTACATAAGCAGAGCAACAGTTAATCTGTTTTGACATGATCATGGTGCACAGCATCAAATGATAACTTCTACACCACTGCTTAAATAATTGTTGTTGAAACAATGTTGTAAACTTATGAATTTTAACAGAAGCAATTAATTACCATGACATATATGGCTTCATATACTGAGCAAACCGGAAAACTGGACACTCGGGAGTTTTTGGACTAGGTTTTTAATGTTATGTTTTTGACAATAATTTTAGTTGTATGCTGTGCATAGAACATCTTGACATCAACGGAAAGCAAATGGATCTTAGAACGTTAGTAAACACACCCCGAGGAAGACGTCGTCATTGCTCAAAACTGACGTTGAAGATCTTGCAACGTCTGTGGTGGATTGACTTACTGACGAACACGTCGACCCAGTTCGATAGGACTGAGGTCGGGGCTACGCGACGGCCAATGCAGAACTTGAATACCGGCATTTCGTAGAACATTCTATGTATGGACTTTAAGAATTATCGTATGCGATCTAGCGTTGTCTTGTTGGAACGTCAGTCCAGGGCCATGTCTGTGCATAAATGGTAGCAAGACCGGTTGCAAAATCTGATCCATGTACTTGGCAGTATTTAAGTTCCCTCGAAAGGGGAGAAGGTCCGTGTGCACAAAACAAACCCCATACTATTACGCTGCAGCCCGCAAATCTGTATACTTCACAGGCGCAGACATGGGCGTGACGTTTACCTCGCCTGCGGTACACTCGGGCCCGGCCGTCCGCAAATCTCAATGTCAAGACAACCGAATTACACTGTTTGGGATTGAACCGTTTGTGTCTTGTGGTCCTCACGAGTCTGTTGCGGCGATGAAGAAGCGTTGAAATTGGTCCATTATGGGATCTTTGGGCGCTAAGACCAGCGGCACGCAAGCGATTTCTGACAGTTTGTGCAATTATTCTTCCAGCAAACATCTCCTCACTGGTGGAAGTTGCATTAACAAATTTGTTCCGAAGATGACGTAATCGTTTTGCTTGATCTTCCCGGAGTGAGTTTACAAGTGACGCTCCCGGCCTCGGACGGTCGGCAATTCCGGTTTGATGCACAAGATTAAAAATTATTTGTCGTGAGCAATTAAAGGCTCTTGCAGACTGACCAGCCTCAAGCCTCCCCATAGCATGTTGACATTCTTGATATGAAAGGCGTGCCATTTCCAAACCAACATTAAAATGAAATGTTCAATTTGTTTTTCCAGCTCACATTGAATGTGCGTGTTCAGTTTAAGTAAACATACATCGAATGAATTCATGAATTTGCTTTTTCACACGTGTTTTTCATCTTTATAAGCTACAAAGTAAATGTTTGTACGTGAACTTACAATTTCACGATATTAAAACATTCACATTGTTTACTAACGTTTAATATACTTGTAAATTTATTTGATTAAACAGAAAGTTTTCAAATTTGCTGAGTATATTTGAAAATTGTCCTAAAATATAAAACATAAAACGTAAGGGCCAAAGAATATCCAGTCTGGCCTATCCTCAGAAACAAACAGATAACAAAACAAAACAAACAAATAGATTAATAGCTGTGAATATTATATGAATGTACAACTGAGTGTCCTGTCCTACGAGACAGAGACCTAAAACGTACTCTCAGCCTGACGCCTCACAGTTGCCAGTCACCAGCCACTCGATCACGACCTTATGTGTCACGTGAATGTGATGAGGTTGTTGGGGTATACTTCACTGCTGACTAAACCTACTGGCTGGCACAATGCCAGTTATATACCATGCTTTAGAAACGACGTCATGGGGGGTTATAACACTGCAGGTGTGTTTGATCACATCTTTGATACTCTTGACTTGGTTAACGTCCCCATCCAAAAGAATCTGGTAAAGGGATGCGTAAAATAGTAAATTGCAGACACCATGAAGCTTTGATTCTCCTACTATCATCACCCAAATGCGCAATGTGTGCAAAACTGCAAATCATTATAAGAAGTTTCTGCTACTAAAGCTTTGAGTGAGTGAGTGAGTGAGTGAGTTTAGTTTTACGCCGCACTCAGCAATATTCCAGCTAAATGGCGGTCTGTAAATATCGAGTCTGGACCAGACAATCCAGTGATCAACATCATGAACATCAATCTGCGCAATTGGGAATCGATGACGTGTCAACCAGGTCAGAGAGCCTGTACTCAGAATGTGAATCTTATCTAATATTGTTGTGTATTGTGCATAGACAACTACAATATAAACAGCAATACGTATCCATTGAAGAATTCATTGATGACAGATTTTTTTTTTTTTCAAAATACCAATTCTAATGGGTTCTGTTCTCAGTGTTCTGTTCATCAGTTTTTGTGGTATACGTGGAAGAAAACGATTTATTCTGTGTTTTAGAGCGTGCATTCTGTGTTGTTTTAGAAGTTCTGCTCAGTGTGCTTGTATCACACAAAACCATTTGTATTTTTCAGACTGTGTCCAAAACATGGCTGTTATTAGATGTTGCCGACGGCAGTTCGATTTGAATCTCATAACAGTCGAGCCAGTTTTGTTTCTTTACATGATCGGACTCTTTCTGTCAATTCCAACCTTCCAGGCATTTGTGTATAACAAGGTCTGCATTGACAAGTACAACGAGACTTTCTGCGGCAGCCTGCGCAACCAGACATTCCAAGAGGACCACAAAACAGAAGAGGATTATGTCCAGTCTGAGACGTCCTACTTGATCTTAAAGAGAACAGCTGTAGAACGTGTTCCGGCATGTTTTATTGTACTGTTTTTCCTTGGATCCTGGGGTGACAAAGTGGGTCGGAAACTACCTGTAATTATACCCAGTGTGGGGACAACGTTGTCTTACATTGGGTATATGATTCTTTCCATTTACCCTTCAAGTAAAGTGGAGTATGTGATGATCGCTGCTGTAGTAAATGGTCTCTCTGGGAGTTTTACTGCCCTGTTGATGGCATCGTACAGCTACGTGACGCACGTTGCTGATCCAAAGAATAGAACTACGCGAATAGGAATCGTGGAGGCTGTTATCTTCTTGGCTGGAACAGTTGGAGTCTTCACATCGGGAGTCATGTTGGACAATACAAGCTTCACATTCGTCTTCGCCGTCATGAGTGGATGTTCCTTCTTAGGACTGGTATACGCTGTCATACGTTTAGAAAACCTAAAGGCGAGCACAACAAGACGGCTAGAGGGTGAAGGTTTCTGCGAATATTGGTTTCTGGGATCTGTCAAGGAGTCTGGTCGTTGTGTGATGAAGAAGAGGCAAGGGAAGAGAACTGTCTATATCATCATACTGATTATCATCTTCAACCTCTTTGTTATCGGAACAGTGAGTGAGTACAAATTGACTTTTATTTCTTAATCCTTATTGTTTGCGTTTGCTCATACTAAAACACAGGTCACCTCTTTGGCGTGCTGCAGGTGAAGCGGACATCCTCCTCCTGTTCACAAAGCGAGCTCCACTCAGCTGGTCACAGACAACTTTGGGTTACTATCAGGGTCTGGAGAACTTCGCTCGGAGTTTAATGCTGGTCACAGTTCTGCCTCTGGTTAGGAAGTTGAGGAACACCACCGTAGGACTCTGGGGTTTGATCTCCAAAGCCATCGGTCTGGTGGTATTGGGACTCAGTACACGAACATGGCACGTCTTTCTAGGTAAATGACAACTGCTTTAAGTGCACAAATGTAATTCATCCTTCTTAGTCCTCATCGAGTAAATAATTAGAAAATACAAAACATATAGTTGATTGTGATTCACAATAGTGAGTGAGTGAGTTTGGTTTTACGCCGCTTTCAGCAATATTCCAGCAATATCACGGCGGGGAACACCAGAAATGGGCTTAACACATTGTACCAATGTGGGGAATCGAACCCGGGTCTTCGGCGTGACGAGCGAACGCTTTAACCACTAGGCTACCCTACCGTCCCTGATTCACCAGATGGTTGCATGTCCTAGTATGAGCATCAAATGTATCTGTCACACACGCCACTGATGTGTAAACGTTGTGACAGCAATCAATTCATTTCGTTTCAGTGACACTGCTGTCCATGTTTCAAGGCTTCCCAGCAGCTGTTGTTCGGTCACTCTTGTCAAGTATGGTCAGTCAGGCTGAACAGGGTAGGGTTAAGAACAAACATGATGTTGTAAAGATTGAATAAGCAAAGCTTGGATCACAATGGAAGTAGTACTCTTATATGCTAACGACAGAATATAAGTCAGTCTCGGTTGTCTCCACTTGGCGTACAGGACAAAGAGATGTGAACATTATCTAAAGGATTGCTGGCAAAGAATGATGATAACAGGTATCCGACTGAACAAGGTAAAGCTTGTATCCCATTTCTTAGGCTTAACATTCTACATATGGTCAGCCATATATTTAACGAGTGAGGTGATAATGTGATTTGATGTTAATAATTGAATCAAACAGGACATCTGGTGTTTTAGCCTCATGTCACCACAAACATCAAAACTGAATCAGAGCAACGGTTTTGAATGTTCTTTAAATGCAACAGACGGTTATTAAAACATATACTTAGTATGCATTCCCTGTTTTCAATATGTTCATCGTCTGTTTACAGGGCGCTTGTTTGGACTCCTGGCTTCAATGGACAGCATTGCTGTCGTGGTGGCATCCCTGATCTTCAACCAACTCTACCCAGCAACCCTTGATATCCTACCTGGCCTCAGCTTTATGGTGGCTGCTGGTCTGTGTGTTGTTGCAGCAGCCATTATGCTGTGAGTGGTCATTTTACCTTTATAGCCAAAGAAGGGTATTGACAAAAATCCATAAAAATATTAGTAGTATGTTATGCCAGGCATTTAAAATATCGTAAATATTTTGCATTTGGTCATGTTCCTTCTGTACTTGAATTACAGATGGCTTCATTTTGATATGAGAGGACGGGTATTGGTACTTACACAAAATGTGACAGGAGACACAGAGGACAAAAACAAAGGTATGCCCTTAGTAGTTTGTGAAAAATGCAGAAGTGTATACAATTTACGTCCGGTCATTATTGTTTCAGCTTAAGCATCTCAGTGCACCACACACCCCCATCGATCGTGAATTGTATCAGAAGCAGTTATCAACCAGATCTCGAAACCGCGACAAACGAGACGCCATTTCAGACTCACTAATACCAAATGTCGGTTCGAAGTATGAACTCCAGACAGATGGACGGGTATTAGCTTCACAGTCTAAAACAATCATATACGTAGAAGTTTCTGTTCGAAGAAGACACCTTCACCTGATCCCTTAAATACTGGATTACAAATATAACACAATTTTCATACTTCATGACTTCAGCTAATTTATTAAAGTGGAAAGTAAACAATATCAGACTTGGAATACATCCTTGACGAACACGACATGACGACACGAAAGGCTGCGAAATGCTCTTGGTATCATCACTATTTGATAGTGGCAAATCAAAAGCCTTTCTGAAATCAGTGAAACTACAGTTGTATCTTGTTTTGGGGCCATTATATATTTGTGCACAAAACCTAGTATGTGAATGTTATCAGATTTTGGAGTAGCTCACACGAAAACCAGCTTGACAGTCAAATATGTGTTTCAGAGAAAGTGAATGAGGGACTGTAAAAGAAGAAAAGGTGCATTTGTAAACAACTATGTTTATTTTTCTTTTGTTTCAGAGGACGCTCAGGTGGAGGCTTCGACGACCCACATGTAATCATAATCAGTCATCACGTTTCGAGCAAATGTCAGATGTTTTGCCTATAACATCCGAATATGTCAATAGTAATATATTCGAGCAGTACACAATACTCCAGATCGGGTTCAAGTATCAACACAAAGGGCTAAAAAGAGAGAAAAAACTGGGTTTTTTTAGATATTTATGTCACTCTCTTTATTTTCTCAGTTCTTTCAGCCTGCTTATCTTGAGCATAAATAGTACTTCTTCTCCCTCTTGTATTTTCGAACAAATCTGTGAAATCCCTACACATGTGGGTGAATGCACATAACATATAAATTATTGTCTCTGGAGTCTCATACCCGTGGAGATCCAGGTTAGAATTGGTCTTGACTCGTCGTACGAGGCTGACGGGATCGGGTGGTCAGGCTCGCTCACATGTATCTCAGTAGCTTAGATCGATGTTCATGCTGTTGAGCAATGGATTGTGTGGTTCAGACGCGATTATTTACAGACCGCCGTCACATATAAAGGAAATATTGGTGAGTGCGGCGTTAAACGACAGACAAACAAATCTGGTGCCTCTATTTTGGAAATAATATTGAAGAGTTCATTATTCGTGTTTATTCTTCTTATACTTTCCTCACACCGGTTTGTCTTTAAATTATATTTCTCAATTTCTTATTAATATATTCTTTATGAAAAATCTTGAAGTTCCCAATTTATGTAGCTGTATGTCCCTTTAAAGATTAATGTGTCCTTGTAAATGTGTCTTGTAAAACCTTTACTACATTTTAAGATGCTTCAACATGCGCACATTGAAAGGATGATCTGGCTTTGGGTACACGTTTTGTGCTCATAAGCACATCTATATTCCCCTCTGAAGAAACTAAAGAGCAGCATTTCTAATTCCTTGAAATGTGAGCAAATCAGTATTAATGACATTCTTTTGGATATATTATTGACACCTTTATATCATATTATACATTTGTCATCAAGTGTAGCATTTTTCAACACAAGTACCTGCTTTAGCATCCACTGTGATATTACTATTGTGTAATTCTACTTTGCTATATGGGAAGTATTCGACAGTTATGTCCAAACTGTAATGTTAAGACAGTGTCACCATAATATTATTATTAAGCTATTTTAAAAGTATAGTAAAGGAAACGCTGAAACGTCACTCTATGCAATAAACGAGAAGTTATCGTATCCGTTTTTCTTCGTTATTCACAACGTCTTTCTCAAATTCATGCATGTGAACACGGTAGGGGTAAAATTCGGAATTTACAGTGAAACGTGTCAGTATGTTGTCTATACATTTCAATGATGAAAACCAGACTGAAAGATATCATTGCAAATTCAATTAAACGGGTCTTTTTTACACAAGGCATTTATCACTTCAGGAACTGCAACAAAGTGTGGGGTAGACGAAATGGTCCTTTTCATGCCGATAATGACCAGAACGATGTTTTTTATGGCTGCTCAGTAATGCTGTGGGATGGGGTCACTGTGACTTACAGCTTAATGGGCAGTACAGGGCGGGTATTGTTACTGACTGCGTCCAGCAGGAGAGCAAGAGCAAGGCCAGACTTGTCATTAATCAAACATGTACAAACTCGACTTCACACTGTGAAAGAGCTAAAGATTTGTAGAACCTGTCTTCTTTCTTGTTCATATGTCTGTAGAGTTCCTCTCTGGCTCTTTTCTTCATATAAGAAGATGACACGCTAGCAGCCTCAGCAGTCACCTTCTACTCACAGTAGTAGATTAACTCTCTGTTTTGACAACTAATAAGTTGTCCCACACTGGCCCCCACGTTCACACCTTCTTAACGAGTTATCCCGGAGTGGCCCCTGAATTTGGTTGTTACGTAATAGACAGGGGGGCCACTCTGGGAATACACCGAACTTGTCTACTTGGACGGCGCCATCAGAAACTATTCCCAACAAATGAACCAAGCCGACATAGGACGTTTGATTAGGATTATCCTTCATTGAATCCGGGATTGTCTTGAGAATAGAGATGGATTCACGAGATATCAATGTGTTTGATTTTCAATGGGAAATGATGTGATGTACAGTAGGGCGCTTCGGCCAGTTATCAAACAAAATCTATGGTCATCTGACCTTCAAAGACTAAGGCAAATGATAGTCAGATGTGACTATTATTTGAATAGTTATTTCATTTAAGATATAAATTATCAATACCTTTTAATTGAATATTCCAAACTCTTTCATAATATATTTGTCACTCAAACTACACCATCATAAACTTCATCTTTGATGCCATGGGGGCCTCTACATGAAAGACATTTCTCTTGTCAGGTCAGATTGTCAATATGATCACTGATATTGGTAAGTATCGTCTCTTCTGAAGATGTCCTTGTCTTACCTGCTGATTCCCAGGATGAAACTAAAACTTTGACAGGGAAATAGTCCATAAAAGACCATGGTGTGACACAACAAAAATAAAATGTGCTGTAGTTAATCATTGTATTTCTGAAATTGAGTGAGTGAGTGAGTTAAAATTTATCGTCACATCGGCAATATTTCAGCAATATTGTGCCGAGAACAATTAATTGGTATACATAGTAAGTAATAGTAAATTATAAAACCTGTCTACGAAGGACAGTAAAATAACTAGATTATCACAGAGACGAAATTTAAACTAGTAATTAAATCTTAACCAGTTTAACTATAGATGACAATACAATATAAAAACGGACTATAGATTGCCAACAACTGATGGTGGATCACCATACTAGGGACCCTCGGGACTTACAGTACATTTGCTTCCTGCATGGACCTAGCTGGATTTACACCATCCCTTTAGCTATTAGCAATTTTGGATATTCAAGCCGCAAATTAAAAGAACACATATTTTACGATTAAAAATAATAGTAGATTTAAATTTACATTGAATGCTTTTGGACTTACATACCCTCTCAGGAGGACAATAATTTTACAATACTTCAACCCCCTTTGAGGGTACAGCCACTAACAATTGCAGTTATTAATCTAAACTGCCAATAATAATTTTAGTTATCTATTTACAGACCATTTATCAAAATGAATCTAGTAATTCTATTTCCTTTAAAAATTCAATGATGAAATGATAATTAACATTAAAAAGACCCTTAACTGTCTTGACATTGAAATACTTATCCCTTGTAATGGAAAAATCAATACACTCAAGCAGGACATGCTTGACCGTGATTCTTTCATCACAAGGGATGCAAAACAGAGGATCCTCACCTTTTAATAGGTATTCATGAGTATATCTCGTATGACCAATACGACATCGTCGCATGATGACCTCTTCAAATCTGGACTGACAACCCAAGTAGGTGTAACCAATATAGGGTGTTATTTCATGTAATTTATTGATACCTACTTGGGTGTCCAACTTCTTCTGCATCAGATCACGGATGTAAGTTCTAATGCTAGCTTTATAATCAGAGTACGGGATAAGAAGTAGTGTCACAGATTTGTTGAGTGCTGCCTTGGCAGCAAAATCGGCCATTGTGTTCCCAGAAATGCCAACGTGGCTGGGTAACCAACAAAGGACGATGTCGCATTGGCCAGTAGCAAGATCGTTATATAATTCAATAATTTCTAATAAAAGTGGATGTATACAAGAAAAATGTTTTATAACCTGAAGACAAGAAAGAGAATCTGAAAAAATGATATATTGTTAAATATTTAGGATGTTTAGTCATATATTTAAGCGCTGTAAATATGGCATTTGCTTCAGCTGTGAAAATAGAACTATTGCCTGAACTATTGCCACCTTCCCATCTGTAAATAAGGATTTGTATGTATTATATTTACTTTTTGATTGATTATATTCTTGTTTATATTGTAATTCATTGGTGTCTGATGTTTCAAACGTTGTCAGTGTTAGGTTAACTTCTGGTCTTACCAATTGCCAAGGAAGAGAAGAAAGAAAGCGGGAAGGAGCTATATTTTCCAGCTCAATGCCGGCATCAGAAATGAATGGTATAATTCTTAGCCCAAGAGGTGGAACAAGAGAAGGCTTTTTGTTGTACAAATCCTCATAGAGAGGATTGAAGACACAATTATATGCAGGGTTAGACATATTTGAGTATAGTTTAATGAGATACTGTAAAGATAATTTGATAGGTCGTTGGTTAAGAGATGGCTCATCGGCCTCAACATAGAAACTGTCAACAGGAGAAGTTCTGAAAGACCCAAGACAAAGTCTTAGACCTTAGTGGTGCACAGAATCTAATAGTATTAGGTTGTATTTGCAGGCTCCACCATAAACGATGGAGCCGTAATCTAGTTTAGAACGGATGAGTGATCTGTATAAGTGTAGGAGGGTAGTTTGGTCCCCTCCCCACTTTGAGTTGGAAACAACTTTTAACAGATCAAGTGCCTTCAGGCATTTAGCTTTAAGGGATTTAATATGAGGCAGAAAGGTTCAATGTGAATCGAAAATAACACTCAAGAACTTGGCCTCCTTCACAACTTTGATGGGTGTGCCATTTAGAGATAGTTCAGGGTCTTTATGCGGTTTGTATTTACGTCAGAAATGTATACAATTAGTTTTGTATTTACAAAATTTAAAGCCGTTTTCAAGACACCATGTATTTATTTTGTTTAAACACATCTGCATTTGCCGTTCAATGGTATGCATATTTTTACCACAAGAAATATTAAAATCATCCACAAAAAGTGATCCATCAATTGAATCATTTAAAACCTTTGATAAACTGTTGATCTTGATACTAAACAATGTTACAGACAAAATACTGCCTTGCGGGACACCCTGATCCTGATTGTAATGGTCAGACAGGGTTGAACCCACTCGGACTTGAAATTGCCTGTCATTTAAAAACTTGGATGTAAATTGAGGCAAACGGCCTCGTCATCCAAAGGCATGTAAATCTTTTTAAATCCCATGTTTCCATGTTGTGTCGTGTGCTTTTTGTAAATCGAAAGAATCGACACTGCATGCTGTTTATTAATTATGGCATTTTTCACAAAAGATTCTAAACGCACTAAATGATCGATGGTACTACGGTTTTAACGGAAACCACATTGTATATTAGTTATAAGGTTATTGGTTTCCAAGTACCAAACAAGTCGATTGTTGATCATGCGTTCCATGGTTTTACAAACGCAGCTAGTCAGTGAAATTGGTCTATAATTAGAGGGATCAGTATGATCACGTCCAGGTTTAGGTATGGGAACAATATTAGCATCCCGCCATGACGAAGGAAAATTTCCAGATGTCCAAATGTCATCAAAAATATATAAAAGCGTCTCTAAACATGATTCAGGTAAGTGCTTCAGGAGTTGATAATGTATGTTATCAACCCCTGAAGCAGTATCATGCGCCTAACCAAGAGCAGTATGTAGCTCATGTATCGAAAAGGTTTCACTGCAGTCTTCCCCATTATCTGAATTGAAATTAAGAGATTTCTTTCTTGTTGTTTTGATATTTTTGGAATTCAGGTACA